GCCGCCACCACTTTCAGCTGCGTAAACGCGATGTCGCGCCCCAAACACGTCCTCGGGCCCGCGTTAAACGCGAAGAACTTATACGACGGCTCGTGCCTCACTTTTCCGGTCTCTGGCGATATCCACCTCTCCGGCCTGAACTCCGAGCAGTCCTTCCCCCAGACCCCCTCCATCCTCGCCATCGCGTACGACGAGAACAGTACTCTTCTGTTCCGGTGCACCATGACACCACTGGGGAGCCTGTCCGGCTTCAGCACCCCCTTGTGCTCGAACGGGACGGGCGGGTATAGCCTGAGAGACTCGCACAGCGCGGCGTGTAGGTAGACCAGTCTGCCAAGATCTTCCAATCCTTGAGTTTTGATCTCGTCGAGGATCTTCGCCTCGACTGTCGGGTTCTTCGCTATCAGATAGAAGAACCATGTCAGAGCCGAACTTATTGTGTCACGCCCCGCGACCATCAGATTCAGTACGGTGTCACGGAGGAATATATCCAAGTTACTGAACCCGTTGTCAGCGATTTCGCCTTCGGAATCTAGGTAGGATGTGATGAGATCCCCGTTTTCGCCCCTCTTGGCCTCTTTTCGTTCGTTGACGTATTTAACGATGAAGTGGTCTAAAACTTTCACGGCGTCCGCGAGCCTTTTCTCCGGTCCGATGTTGAGTTTCCTCATCAGCCCCCACCACGCCTTCGGCATGTTGTGCCGTAGAAACACCACTTCTTCGGCGTCGTCCATCGCGCTCGCAAACGGAACGGTTGGAAATCCGATCGATAAGCAAGCAGGGTCGACGCCGAAGACCAGTATGCAAGTAATATCAAAGCTTAATCTCATGAAAACATCTTGTAAATCTAGGGTTTTGTTAGGGTTTTGGGCAAAGTGGTCAAGGAGAGGGATTAGGCTCTTGTGCACTTTCCCTTTGCTTGCATCAATGACATAAGAGCGGAACTTTGGCGTGGACATTAGGGAATGAGCCTTCTTCCTTTGGAACTTCCATGAATCTTTGTCCGAGTTGAAGATGCCGTTGCCGAGGAAGTCGAAAATGATGGCGAACTCGTTGCCTTTCGGGTAATTCAAGAAGTTGGCATTGAAGACGTGGTTGACGTTCGCAGGGTCGCAGGTGAGGAGGACGTCGTAGGAGGTGAAGGAGGGGGCTTTGAAGACGAAGGTGCAGCCGGAGGTGTGGAGGACGTCGGTGAGCCAGTCGTGGAGAAGGCAGGCGGCAGGCGGCGGCGGTTGAGGAGGAAGAAGATGAGGAAGAAGGAGAGAGAGAGAAGGAGCTCAGGGTAAGATGAGAAGATTGATAGGAATGATAATGACATTTTTAGTGAAATAAAGTTTATTTTGAGTTAAGTGATGATCAGTAGAGAGGGCTCTTGTATTTATAAAGGCAAAATTGACTGTGTCAAATAGTAAACTTGTAAAAGATGCTTGATCAACGTTTAACTAATAGAAAATCAGGTATGAGCTTTGCTATAGGGACCCAAAATATAAGACCAACAGGAGAGACAAGTGAGTTATCCCCTACGATAAAAAATTTTAAACTAACAAATTCGTAATAGATCAGGAGTATTAATTGCAAACATTTGACTATAATAACTGATATTGAAAATGATCTATAAATTTATAATTAGGTTAACATTTTTTAATATAAAAATAAATCCAATCCTAACTGATTTCCTAGAATTAGTTTTAGTTTGAAGTGTCCACTTCTGCGGTTATAATCGTTCAAAATATCCGGGTAGCTACGATTCGTTCCATAAACAATTATAGTATATTCATGTGAAATTTCATTCGTTATGAATTCTTTTTCCTCGAGACAAAATTATAAACATATGAAGATGTGAAATTTTTACTGATGAGATAAATGGTCCAATCATCTTAATTCAGATAAAAATCTGAAAACAGTCCATTTTGTTATAATTAAGCGACACACTACGTTGTCTCATCGATTATGGCCTTTTACTTGTAATAGATATCACATCTAGCTGATATACCACTATACTAATAATGTTTTGTATACCGAAAGATTAAATAGCTTGATTGATATAGGTCTTATCTGAAAGAGTGAATTTTTGGATTTAAGCGGAGTAAATTGTTGCGAGTTGTTTAGCTAGAATTGTGCAGTTTCGGGTAGAGCCAAATGGTTGAGCTACTCCAGTGACTTAAATCTAATTTGTTGTTTTAATAAGGGAAGGGATAATTAGTTATAATTGTTGAGGTCGCTTTATGTCCCAATTCTTGGTTGAGGTCGTTCGAGTTCTTTATCTCTTTTTGATGTTGGGTCACCAAAAAATCTCTATAACGACGACAAAATTTTTTTGGTGTTGATAGGTTGAGAATTGCATCATAGGTTCTAAAAGGAAGTAGACTTATTTGACACATGAGCAACTTCATTTAGACACCCTTTCACATGAGCAACTTTATTTCGACACCCTTTCAATATTTGGACCTTGTGCTTGAATTAGCTCTCTAGCCCAAGAGGTACGTCTTTCTAATATTCAAAATTACACTGACTAACCTTGATATTATTCTAAGTTAATTAATATCTCCAATGTACAGTTACGGTTAATCGTGGATAGACCTTTTGTGATCGTACAGTTGCAAATAGATCCCCTATAGTATTTTTGGTGCAGATGAACCCCTGTAATTAATTAAGGACTCTATTTCGTTCTCAAGCCATTTTGACTATAGATTTCGATTAGATAAATTTAATTTGTCTGATTTTATTAAGCATGCAGCTTCGGTGCTCCATGAAGATAATTTGTTGAAGCCCTGGTGGCATATCTGTAAATAAATTCTTTAAAAATAACTCTCACATCTTTAGATACATAGATTTGACGGTTAGGAGGTGTTTCACACCCAAAATTGTAATTAACTATAATTTCAATTAGGTTAAAAGGTTATTTTAAGAAATACAATTTAGGAGAGAAACATAATTTATGATTAGTTAGAATTTTCCAACTAACCACGTACAAATATATGTTGAGAAACTGATTTTAAGGTCCGCTAAAACTCCAACTAACCACGTACAAAAAATGATAGGGAAATTTTGCAAAATAGATCGTTTTTATAAAGTAATTAGCGAAATAGACCATTTTTAAAAGTAATTAGCAAAATAGACCTCTTTTTGGCCAATAGGCCAAAAAAGAGGTCGATTTTGAAAAAATGGCTTCAGAAAACATACGGGACTACTAGTCCCGTATGTTTAAAGCTAACTAATCTAATGATTAGTGCACTAATCATTAGATTAGTTAACTTTAAACATACGGGACTAGTAGTCCCGTATGTTTTCTGAAGCCATTTTTTCAAAATCGACCTCTTTTGTCAAAAAGAGGTCTATTTTGCTAATTACTCTCAAAAGTGGTCTATTTCGCTAATTACTTTATAAAAACGGTCTATTTTGCAAATTTTAGTTTTTTTCCGAAGATATGCTCTTAATTAAATTAAACAACTTAATTTTATATTAGTCTCTTTTTTTTTATTTCCGTTGGTTATTTTGATCAAACTATGTTCATATATGTTAACAAAATTTTTTGTTTCTAGCCAATTATTTTTTAAAATTTCAAGATAACATTTCTTTTTGATTTTTTTAAGTTAGTTATAAATCTAACTATTTTCTTCTTGTTTCTACCGATCTTCAATTTCCATATAGATTAGATTTTTAAAATTTCCTTTTTTTTGTATAAATAAATTTCTTCAACTTTAAGTGATTAATTAGTTAACGATCTCATAAAAAAGAAGTGGGGGGATTTTAGTTTTGGCAAAGAGAGATAGACTAGGAGAAAAAATATGGGAAGACAAAGGTATCCTTTCTATTTTTACGCCTAACTTTTTTTTTGTCAAATTAAAATTAAAAGAAGCTACTATTATCGGAGCACCGAAGCAAACCTCTTTTATTAAATCCTGGATTTCTGACACGTTACATTTTTTATTCAAGTGAAAAATCACAATTTTATCTTTCATAAAAAATCAAGTTCAGAGTTTTAAAGTTGCTTTTATCATAATGATTTGGGCTTTAAAAGAGATAATAAGCTTTATGACATATTAGCTTATTGGGTTGGATCCAATAGGAAATCAATCAACTCACAACTTATTTCATAATCCCAGATATAAAAGCCCATTTTCTCCCCTTCAAAGATTTGGGCTGAGATTTTGGAGAGCTTGGAGGCCAAAAGAAGAAAGATCAACAATCCAATGCAAGTGTTTTTATTTGTTAGATTTGTAATTTAAATATTCTAATTTATGGGTCTTTTAGATCACGAGTTTCTCTATCTTTTCAATCAAGAAAATTCTGATTTTGATTACTTTTAAATTCATGGGAATTGATCAAGAGGAGGATCACTCTAAGAGGTAGATCTAAATCCACAAAATCTTTATAGGAGAATGATCAATTGTTATAGATAAATGATACATTTGAATAGTTTCCTTTTGATAGTACAAAACTTGGATATAAGTTGGTTTTGGAATTGATCTTGAATAGAGAAAGTTTTTGTTCAAAAATATTTTTGGGAATTGCAGTTGTCAGCACGAGCACATGCGCTCGAGCTAACCAACATACGTGCTTAGTGAAATCCCAAGAACAACTATAATGTTTGAGTGCATGAGCCCAAACAATAAACACATGCACTCAAATGGTCTTTTCAAAGATGATTTCTATTTTGAGTTTTTATTTGTCTGTTGTCAGAACATAGCTAATGTGACATCGAGCAGAGCACCCGCGCCCAACCTCCTAGCGCATGCGATTAATGCAAGAAAATAAATTCTTTCAAATTTTAGTAATTGATTCTATTAGGATTATTTTTAATGATTCCTTGGTTTCCTTTCATATATTACGATACTAGTTATGCAATTAAGCATGTTCTTGCTATCTAGAGATATAGCAAATGATAAATTATGATCGTTTTATTAAACTTATGATATATCATGTTTAAGTATGCAAGTAAGGCTTGTTGTGCTATGTTATTGCATAGTGTGATCATATTCTCTTGGCATGTTATGTTATGCTATGTCATGACCTAGTATTCGTGGATGTCATGCATGTTGGCCTAGGTTATACCATGGACCTTTTATTTACTTGGTAGATTATCATAAGACTTGTCCCTAGAAGTAAGCATGATTAGCCACCATAATATGGTATATAGATGATGATGATTGTCTATGTTTGGATATTAGGCTTGCCCCTTACGACACCAAATCAAGAACATTCCTTATTTGAAATTAAGAAAGTTCTTGTTTTGCGATATTGCTACCATGAGTGTAGGCTCGTGATTCTCCACTACTAAAAATTTGATCTAGTATAAAATATGAGAAACCAAGAAAGGGAAACTAAGAAAGAGATCAAATATCCGCATGTATCAAGTCATGATGACTTGCTTTGTTATTTAACGGATGTTTATTTGCTTTGGAAACTCAATTAGAGAGGGCACCCACTAGATGAATATTCTCTATATCATGTATGTCCAAGTAAAGAACATGTTCATGTGGGTTAATAAAAGAGAGGAATAGTATGTGGCCCAACGTTGTGTTTGAGCATTAGCCCTAGTTGAGACTGTGCACTAAGTAAAGTAAGAATACAAGTAATATTTCTAGTAGGTAGGCCAAACACACATTACCATGTGAGAGCTTTCTTAAAAAAAATAAATAAAAGTTGAGAATAGTTAGATGTAAACACTATATTTGCATCATACTCCAGGAGCTATGTGCACAGTCATTGTTATCTCTATGATAATGTTGTTCTGGTTATCTTCTTTTATCTATTCCATATTCTAGATTTTGAGATGCATGTCCTTTTCATGAAAGCAAATAAAGTGATACCATTATGTAGCATTTCTTACATTTAAACTAGTCATGTCTTCATGACAAATGTTACATGTGTACAAACACTTCTTACTTTTACCATTTGCTAGATGATTTTCGAGCCATTTTGCTTTGCACACCAGTGGTGAACTCATACCTTCCATCCCCGCTTTCAGGCAACCTTACGTCTAGTGATCTTCAATAGATGGAGTTTCTATTAACTGGTTTGTCTATCTATTTGTATAATTACGTTTCAACTTTCTTGATACCAGTCTTATTTTTTATGTTTATCTTTTTACTGTTATGTTGTGAATCTAATGTACGTAACTATAATAGTTGTTCATTTAGACTTGTGTGGTCATGTGACCTCGCTATTATGTATTTTGTGAGGATGACATTTATATCAGATTCGTGATATATTTTATGTTATTTCCTATCTATTGGACTTATTGCTATTTATTGAGTATCTTGATTTTGTTGTATATTTGTGCTATATACTTGCTTTTGCTATATATCGGTCTCCTTATATTCTCTCTGTGTATGATTTTCTGATTCTTTTCTAAGTATGGTGGACAAGATGTATGTACTAACCCTAATTATAGGCTTAAGTATATACTATTCGGTGGTGTGGCCTGATTATAAGTGCTACCTAGCCTAGTCATATGCCCGTTAGGTGTTTCTGAGATACGAAGTGTGATAATGTTTTATTTGGTATCAGAGTCTAGGGTTTATCAGTACATACATGTCAATACCATAAGAATATTTCACAGAATTTACATATTTCCTTTTATTTAAGTCTATATCCTTTCATTATTCCAATCCCTTCTTTTTGTTTCAAGAGAGATTTATCAATTAGTCTCATCATATGGTTGTTTCTACTTCTTCTCCTTCTAAACCGAGCCTTGCGTCCATCCTTCAGTCTTTGTTAGAGTAGAATTATCATTGCAAGGAAGTAGTAGCTAGATATGAAGAAAAACACACCATTTAGAGTTAGGGACTCTGATGAGAGCAGGGAAACGGTGAAAGAAGATGATCTGAGAGGAGGTCAGATTGACCTGACAGGAAGCAGCTGTAGCTATGGTGGTCTGAACACCTATGATAGGAGTGTTAGAGCATCTCCAACATCTTCCCCATTTTTTATTTTTGGAGAATTTAGTTAGGTTTTTGGCCCAACAGATTCCCCATCTCATTCCCCAAAATAGGGATGGAGGAGAAAAAATGGGGAAGCTTCCCCAAATCTGCAGCATTCTCTAAATTTTTAGAGGAAAAAAGGAATTCTTCAAAATGGGGAAGCTGTTGGAGTTGGTATAAAAATTAGTTGGAGAATATGGCTTTTACTTCCCCATTTTGGAGAAAATTTTGGAGAAGCTGTTGGAGATGCTCTTAGTGACCCAACTGATGAGGGAAGTTGATGTTGCCAAGGTAGCTCGGCGTAGGGGTCTGGTAGCTATTTCTCATGATAACCTACACCTAGAGGAGTATTTAGGGACGAAGACTGGAATGGTGACTGTCTAGTGGCTCAATACTGGAGAAAGGTTACTTTAGGTAGCCTCCATTTATGAGGATGATCAGATTAAGAATGTCAAGCTTTGGATAACCCACACCACGTAGGAGTGGTGGAAGAGTAAGAAGGGTAGCAAGCCCAATCCTTTCACTTTGACTGAATTCACTCATAGATTTACTGAGCGATTCTTTTCAGAGACCATTCAACTGTTGGCCTCTTTGTTTTATGATGATGTTTAACAAATAATTTACCACTAATGTTGTTTGTCTAGTGTTTGTGTTTATCAAACAAATAACATGTTGGAGGATGGATGGAATTACGCATTCACAATCATATCCAATGGAAGTTGGCGGAATTGTGGAGTGAAACCTATGCAATTTAAATTAAAGATCCAAGTTCTAGCTTCATCCGTAAGTGTACCAAGTTGAGCTACATCGAAGATCAATCAAGCTTGGGTATATTTACACTACAACAAACAGGTCTTTTAGCAACCAACTTTTTTGCGAGAAAATTATTTTCCTCAACAAATATCACTTTCGACGAGGAAAATATTGTTTCCTCTGTAAATATCAGTAGGTCTTCTACGAGGAATATATTTTCCTCACAGTAGACCACCTTCTACTATGAAAATTTTAGTTCTTCGCTAAAGATGATCATAATTTGGTCTCCTAACTAGTTGTTTTATTGGCGAGAAAATATGTGATTTTGGTGATGAACTTTTTCATCGCGAAATGCACATTTAACGAGGAAATAATCATTTCATCGCTGTTCTTTTGGTGAAAATAGAGGAAAATCCGCCAAATGTAACAACCACAAAGTATGATCTCCTCGCTGAAGATCCATAATCTGCGAGGAACCGTTTCCTCATCAAAAGAATCAATTAGCGAGGAAATAATAGTTTCCTCATTATTAGTTTGGCGGGAAAAAAAAACCCCCTCCAATTTCAATGGTGGCAAATTTAAGGCTTCCTCGTTAAAAAATTTTGTTTTTACGAGGAACCGTTTCCTCGTTAAAAAGAACTTATTAGCGAGGAAATCATAGTTTACTCAAGGAACCGTTTCCTCGTTAAAAAGAACTTATTAGCGAGGAAATCATAGTTTACTCACTACTAATTTGGCTGAAAAATTTGTAACACCTGCCAAATTCATTTACGACAAATTAAAGGTTTTCTCGCTAAAATTTATGTTTTACGAGGAACTGTTTCCTCGTTAAAAAACCAATTAGCAAGGAAATAATAGTTTCCTCGTTATTAGTTTGGCGGAAAATGTGCAAAACCCACCAATTTCAATAGCAACAAATTTAAGGCTTCCTCGCTAAAAGTTTTTGTTTTACGAGGAACCGTTTTGTCGTCAAAAAGAACCTATTAGCGAGGAAATTATAGTTTTCTCATTATTAATTTGGCTGAAAAATGTGCAACACCAGCCAAATTCATTGACAGCAAATTGAATGTTTTCTCACTAACTTTTTTTTGTTTTACGAGGAACCCTTTCCTTGTTAAAAGAATCAATTAGCAAGGAAATAATAGTTTCCTCATTATTAGTTTGAAGGAAAAATGTGCAAAACCCGCCAAATAGATATAAACCAAACATGCAATGAAATCTTTTATTCCTATTTGTCAATGAAAATAGATATAAACTACATTAGCTTTGAGATGTGGGAGATTCTCCTCACAAGTTTAGGCATTACTTCGATTCTAAACACTCATTAAATCATACATTCTAAGCTTGTATAGATATATCCGCCTCAATTAGATATTTATGCCTCAACAAGATATTTCCACTTTGAGTATGTTTTAATGCCTCAACCGGGTATCCTATCGTAGTAAGATCTTTCAATCTTGATCACAACAAATTTTCTCTTTGAAAAGATAGCTGAAAGATATACATATGTTTATATTTTCCCCTAACCCCTAAACCCTAAACCCTAAACTCTAAACATGGTCAAAGTAAAATATCAAATTTAACCCTCTTAATAGATATACTCTCTTTGATGCTGTGTACATGGAGAAATATGTAATTTAAACAAGAAAGAGTCAAAGCTAACATATATACCGTCAATCTAAAAGAAAAGCGGGATGTCCTGGTGAGGAAGCTGGAGAAATTACATGTATCGAAAAAATAGCGGGAGAAATAGCGACCAATCTAAAAAAAAAAATTTGAACAAAAAAGAATGAATAGATTTACCCTAATATCTCTCTCAAATAGATTTACCCTAATATCTCTCTCAATCTCAACACGATGCTGCAGTGCTGCACTTTGAAACTTAGAGGTTCTCGTTTACATCCAGCCGATCTATTGAGTTTTCAATTTTGGTAAGTACTGAGAATCAATCTTTTATTACTTCGCCCATAGATTCTTTCTATTTTCTTCCGCAATATGTATAAATCTTTTCTGTTTGATTAATCGGGGTCAAGTTTTATGCTAGATCAAGGTCTGATTATCGTCAGACTTTAAATGACTTGAGTTAATTTCAATTGTTCTTAGTGACTTAAACTTGGAGAAATGTTTCTTTGATCGTGTTGCATTTGTTATTGCTTTAGACTAGTTTTTGTTACTTATGGTAGTACCTTTCTTGCTTTATTTATTTTAATTGTTTTGATGTACTGTGGTGACAATTAATGATAATTATTTATATTTTGTGTTTTTTCTCGTAATAGCATTATTATTGATGAAATTCTATTTGAAACAGTTGCTAATTATATCTTAAAGTAAATTTTAAAAAATAGATATTTTTATTAAAATTAAGGTGGGAAACGAAATTTGTAGGGATTAAAAAAAACGGGGGAAACGAATTATAATTACCAAAACGCGGTGATTTTTATTTATCCCTCAAAACCGCTCCGCTCTCATCCTCCCACCCGCGAATTCCCCACGACCCAAAACCTAGCGATTTATATTTCCCCTCAAAACCCCTCCAATCTCAGCCTCCCACCCGACCAGTACCTCCCCACGACCCAAAACCTCCTCTCTCAAAAACCTCCGATCTCACATCGATCAAGACCAGAGACCTTCGCTTTCCCTTTCCGATCAAGACCTCGATCAAGACCTCGTGCAATTGTGGTTGCGTCTCACCCCTTTCCGAATTCTGGCAATTGCATGTGCTGATCGCCTCACCCCCACAAAGGAATTTTGGATTTTCCTATTTTTGAGATTAAATTATTCATTCAACTTGTAAAAATTCCCAATCCCTTGTTGATTCTGTGCATGTGCTGATCAAGACCTCGTGCAATTATTTGTTTCGTTCATGGATTTTCTATTTTCCAACTGTTTACTTTTGCTGATTTTTCCTGATGTTGGATGCTGGTCGAGGATGTATTTTTTTGGGATGAAATATACCTTGATGTGTAGACATGTTTGAAGATGTATGTGACTAATCCATATATGTCATATACATGAACATGTTGAGGATTATAATTTTATCAACATTTTTATTGCCTCCATTCTTTTCAGAAAGCTATAGACAGTTATCATTATTGAGAAAACACTGTTGGTCATTGAACTTTGTGGTTGCTTGACTATAATATAACTTAGTTGGTTTTGAAGTGTTTGGGTGCATTCATGTAACAATTATCCTAAAGGTCTTATGCATTATCAACAAGTTAGAAAGGAATATATCCTCTTTATAATCTAACGAGTTGGTTAACTGATCAACATATTCATGGATGCGCACTCAGCTTTACACTGGGATAAGGGTTCCTCACATTCATTACCTTAAAGTGTTACACCTTGTGAATCACAATCGCTTAAATTGTTGTTTTTTTTCTTTTTTGTTCTCACTTTGATGTTAATCCAGCTTGCATTTGTAACTTCTTGCTAATGTTTTAACTTTTGTTTTCCTTTTTTTTGTTCTTTTATGCTTGATTTTATCTATGGCTGTTGAAGTGTACCTCAATAAATCAATAATCAACGTTAATATCTCATTTTTATCACTTAATTAACAAAAAAATATTATAATTATCGATTAACCACAGGTAAGTTAGATCATAGGTACAAGTGTTGGTTATGTATCTTTTTTATGATTGGTCATACTGTTTCTCAATGGGGAACCCCTTGTTTTTTATTATAGGTACATGATGGACAGAAGTTGGATGTTTGTTAGAGATAGGTTTCACAACCTTGACTTCACCAATGGTTTACAAACATTTCTGGATGCTGCGAAACAACACCTAGATCATGAAAATAAGACGCGTTGCCCCTGTGTTAAATGTCAAAATGTCTTGCCGTGTCTTTCTCTACCCGAGATACGCAGACATATACTTGTAAATGGGTTTGCACAACATTACACGACATGGACTGAGCATGGGGAAGATTTTGTTGATGTCGCAGACGACCAAATGTATGAGGATTTTGAAAGTGACAGCTAGGATGATGATGATGATGATGATGCGATGTTGGACATGTTAAATGATGTCCAAGGGGCTATAAGTATGGAGACAGATGATGAGAACGATATTTATATTAACAAATATGATTATTTGTTTAATGAAGCTCAACGAGAACTGTACCCGGGTTGTACAAAGTTCTCTACATTATCTTTTATTATAAAATTAATGCAGATCAAGATAGATGGTCGTTGGAGCAATAAAAGTTTTAAAAATCTACTGAAATTGTTAAATGACTCGTATCCAAAAGGTGCATCCATACCAACATCGAACTATGAAGCTAAAAATATGTTGCTAGAATTGGGCTTGGGGAATGAATCCATACATGCATGCAAGTATGACTGTGCACTGTTTTATGGGAAAGAGAATAAGAAACTGGATGAATGTCCAGTGTGCAAGGAGTCGAGATACAAGTCTTGTGATGGCAAACGCAAGAAAGTACCACAAAAAGTCTTGCGTTATTTTCCATTGAAGCCGAGACTTCGGAGGTTGTCAGCAAAGCCAAGTTTTTCTGTATTATCAATAGTTTCCTGCTTCTATGGTGGCTTACTCTTTTTTTCAAGCGAGGGGCGTAATCTTGAGTACAAAAGTTTGTAGCGAGTTTCATGATGTGAAATGTGGTGCTAATCAGTCAGAGTTCCCCTCTTAGAGAAAATTGGTACAGATAACCGTAGAAGTCTGCTTTGTTGGGGTTGTTGCCTGTTATAACTCATAAAGTTTTACTAGATCTTTCTCTTACCTTGTCATTTTTTGCACCATGGTGTATTGCATGTGCACATCGAAGTATTCATATGTATTTTGGTTTATCATATATGTACATGTAACGATACAACATACAACATATGTATGTTAATTATACATGTATATATGTTCTGTGTATAGACTATATTATTTTAGGTTTTCAATCTTAATTAACAATAACAAATGGAAACTACATATTACCTTTCTTACAGTTGTTGTCATGTTAGCTGGAATTTCTTTGAATTGAATTCATATTCTTGGATTATTAACCCAAACTGAATGCACTTTGAGCCAACTGGAGAGGCTAAACCAGACACTGCTACTACAAAGAGCCAAAGGAGAGGCGGTAGGCCAACTGGATGCACTTTGACCTCCCATCAGAAAAGCCCCAACGGTTGAAACCGTTGGTGCTGATATCAGCACCAACAGTTGAACCCGTTGGGGCTGATTAAGACCCCAACGGTTATACCCGTTGGGGCCTTAATCAGCACCAACGGTTGTAACCGTTGGGGCTGATTTCAGCACCAACGGTTACAACCGTTGGGGCAATTTTTTTTAATTTTTTAAAATCAAAAAATAAAAATTTCTTGCCCCAACGGTTGTACCCGTTGGGGCAAGTTTTTCAACCGTTAGGGCAAAGTCAGCCCCAACGCAACTTGCCCCAACGGGTGTTTTTTCAGCCCCAACGGTTGTAACCGTTGGGGACACGCTCAACCCTAACGGTTACAACCGTTGGGGCTGGGTAGTAGTGTGCCTAGAGACTGTAACACCTAAAGTTTCCACTAAAAGTTCCACTATGTAGCCAAATCTGAATTAAAAGAAAGCATTGCAAGTGGGAGCTTATATTTTTTGTATTTACCCATAGAATCCCCAAGAGCCCCTTGCGGTTTTGGTTAGAAAATTGTAATCAGCACAAGTGGGCACTCCATTGACTTGATTATAAGAGCACATCACTCCACTAGCTTGAGCCTCTTGAATGCAACTCCTAAAAGGAGGCTGATAAGTATCCTCCAAATCCTGTACAGATACCTGAAACCAAAACCAACAACCAATTCTTATAATCCCCATCAACGATATATTCAATCTCATCAATAGTTTACCATCGCATTAAACGTGTATCGAGTTTTCCCCTTCCAATTGTCCATGTCGTAAGCTGTGAAGTGCTTGCAGCAAGCTGAAACCTTAAGCTCAGACATGCTTCATCCAATGATAAGTATCCTCCAAATCCTGTACTGATATTTTTAAAGTTAGCGGGGTTATATAAAAAATCTGCCAAATGTAGAGGGGTTACTGACATTTTCAAAGTTATCGGGGTTATACCAAAAATCTGCCGAATTATAAAGGGGTTTTGTGAAATTTCCCTTACATATTATTTCAACTTTCACCAATGATGATGTCTTTCTTTCGCACTTGCTATATATACTAAGATATATCCTCCACCATGTTCTGAACTTAGTGATATGGGACTAAACATGTAACCTAGATTCTTCATCTTTCAAATGTAATTGGCACTACATTAGTATAAATGATCACCTACTTTCCTCCAGCTATTTGACAGAACAAGCACACCGATCGAGCAATTGCAGGGAAAACCTATATGGGTTCCTTCAATTTTATCTCAACACAAATCATTGCGTGTTGCAGGTCCAGTTTATGGATTACTCACCGAGATAAGGAAGAAGACAGGTCACCAGAGGAAATGAGTAGTAGTTTTTTATATATATTGTGAACTTAGGATATTGATAAAGTGAAGTGATAGTACATTCTTCTGCATTTTGACCATTCTAATTGTCTGATAATAAACAGTGAGAAGATGTACCGTAACAAAACGCCTACCGTTCAGAGTTCTACTTCTGGTAAGTAGTGCATATTTCTCTTATAATTCATGATTCATTCACTTGGTTGATTAGAATATTATTATCAATTTAACGTTTATGTAACAACAGGTAATGCACCAAGTAATCAATCACATGCAGAATTATTGAAAAAGAAACGTTCTCATGCAGCAACTAGTTATCTGCCATACGTGAATTCTACAGGGAATGGATCTGGTTCTAATCCGAGTAAATATGCAATCTTCATTTTACTGCTAGAATATTTAAGTACTGTTAGTTTTTACTTATCTAACAAGTGTGTATGCTAATAGGTACAAAACGTACTCGTCTGCAAACTTCCAATCAAGAATGCCAAAATTCTGTAGCAGATGGACTGAATTCTAGTAGTACTGTTGTCACCACAGAACGAACTACTACTGGTAAGTGGTGTTGAATTGAGCTGAATTCAGTTGAATTGAGCTGAATTGAATTATTTTCCTCTAAAAGGTGTAGAGAAGCTGAATTGAATTTCATTTTCATCAATTGCAAATTACAAGGGTATACCTAAACTACAAACTCGAATGACAGGGATTAGAGTTAGTGCACGTCTTCAGCAACAAAGTGTTAATGATCAGCCAGTGGTAAACACCATAGTTGAAGAGCGAGATGATAATGTGATGTCAGATATTAATCAGGAGCCTCCTTCAGGTATATAAAACATTATATACAAATATTTTAAGAATTAAATATACGTATGTGTTATGTTCTTAAAAAAATTTATGTCAAAGGTACAACCAAAAAGGTGCGAGGGAAGACAAGAGGAGTGAATGCAGATAAGGTGTTCTCCCAATTGAATTCTAAAATACCTGTGACTCTGACTGAAGAAAATGGCAGACCTACTGGCCCTTATGCTGAGATGTTTGCAAATGAAATTGGTTACACAATTCGAAACTACGCCCCCACTGAATGTTGGAAGAAGATTGAAAAAGCATATGTGGAGAACTTGATCAAAAGAATGCAAGTTAGTGATGATTTGTTTTGCTAAAGGCATTATATTGGTTGCTTTGATTTGTTATATTTAGTTTGACATGAAATTATGCCTGTGCAGAATAAATTTGAATTTGATATGTCGCTCCCTTGGGTCCAGAGATATGTAATTACAACATGTCAGACCGTATATTGTAATTTTCGTTATAAGTTAAAGAAACATTTTGAGCAGTTTTCAACAATTGAGGAGGCAATTCAAAACAAACATGAAGCTGTCAAGACTCAGGAAGAATGGGAGTTTCTTTGCACTCATTTTTCTAGTGAAAAGTTTAAGGTACAAACAATATCTTTTTTATTTTTCTCCATGCATTACATTTTTTCTTTTTTCATTTACTTCTTTCTAATTGTATGTCTTAATAATTTTAGATTCGCTCAGAGAAGAATGTTCTTAATAGGTCAAAGTTGACATATCATCACAAAGCTGGGTCAAAATCATTTATGTCACACCAAGAGCAAATTGTAAGACACTTTTTAGTTTTGCTTATAAATTTGTAACTTAATTGTGTACATATATATATGCTAAAAATGAAAACATGTTTGAATGCAATAGGCAACACAGAACGGAGAGATGCAAGGTGCAATTGATCGTTTTGAAACAGAGTATAGAAGCACAAAAAAATGATGGGACTTGGGAGCAAAGAAAAATGGGTAAGTAACGTGTCAATGATACATGGTTTTATAATATTTTAAGAATATAGGTGAAGCTGATATTACTGTTCTAAAGAGGATTATATTGATTAGGTTGTAATTAAGAAGTTGCATATGATTGAACTGGATATATATTTTTTTACTTATAGGATCAAATGATAAAGATGCGAGCAGATACCACTCAACCTGATGGAACTCGAACAATGACAGATGAGGAAATTTGTGCAAAAGTTCTCAAAGTCAAATCAGGCTACATTAAGGGCTGTGGTTTTGGCCCTAGACCACCACCATTAAGGTTCTCTCGTTCTTCAATGAGTGAAATGTCTGAAAAGAATAAAGAGTTGCAAGAACAGCTTCAAGAGACCCAACAACTTGTAGGAACTCAACAACAGAAGATCGATGCGCAAAATGAGGTAATCCAAAGATTGGAGGAGCAAGCCAAAAAGTTTGAGGAGTTTATGGCTAATTTTTCGAGGCAACATCCATCAGCTTAGTATTCTTAGTGAACTTAAACTTGGAGAAATGTTTTTTTGATCGTGTTGCATTTGTTATTGCTTTAGACTAGCATTGTTACTTATGGTAGTACCTTTCTTGCTTTATTTATTTTAATTGTTTGGATGTACTGTGGTGACAATTAATATTTTAATTGTTTTGATGTACTGTGGTGACAATTGATGATAATTATTTATATTTTGTTTTTTTTCTCTTAATAGCATTATTATTGATGAAATAAAATTTCCTCATTATAAGTTTTCTCGCTATATATTTAGGTCAATGAAAGTAAATTTCCTCAAAATAGACCCTACAACTTAAGGTGAAGAAAATATGTTTCCTCGCAATAGGCCACATACTTATGTCGTCAAAAGAATATTTCCTCGTTATAGAGTATACTGCTTATGTTGACAAAAACATATTTCCTCGCTATAGTGATACAACCTATAACGGCAAAAGTTATTTTCCTCGCTATAGACCGTATAATCTATATCGACAAATGTAACTTTCCTCGTAATTGAATTTCTTTGGCGAGGAATATGAGGTACAACCTACAACGATAAATTTAAATTTCCTCGTCTTTGAGTCCCTTTACTGAGGAACTGTTTCCACGAGAAAAAGATACATATAATGAAGAAAATCAATTTCCTCGTTAATGATTTACCTTTGGTGAGGAACAATTTCCTCGTTGAAAGGTACTTACAACGACGAAAATAATTTTTTTAGAACTTTTATTATATATAAATTAAATATTATTCACATATCATTAGCGAGGAAACTGTAGTTTAGCGATGAAAAAGGCATGAGATTAGGTGAGGAAAAATATCGAGGCTAAAGAGTAACAACGAGAAAAGAATATATTCATCGCAAAAAGGATTTCGTGAGAAATTATAATATTCCTCGCAGAAACTTTTCTTGACCACCCTACTGCGAGGAAATGGTGACCAAAGTTTTTTCCTCGCGAACACACTACGGCGAGGAAATCTCGACTTTCAACGACAAACTTGTTCCTCGCGGATTAGCTTTTCTGTTGTAGTGTTAGTTTAGGTTTTATATTATGTGTGTTAGTACCTTAAGCTCAATCATATATACACATACACGCTTTGGTTTCGTATATATATAGTTATATATATACATATATGTTTTGGTTTGATAGTTTTCAAGTTTTACTATGAAACAATTGAATATAATTGAAAATACATTTCTTGTTTCATACTTATATGTATATATATGATTTCATCAATATCAATTTTATTTAGTTCAATGAAATCATGTTTTAGTGCATTATATGTGTATTTTGATAAAATATTATATTCATTATTTATAGACTTCATAATAATAGTTTACATCTTTTTTTAAGTCTATAAAATCATTTTGTATTATTTTAAAATATGGTTAAGCTAAAATGTCAAAACTCATATGTTCACATTTTTATGTTTTGGACTATTTTACAAAATGATCATATTTTTTATTTGGGAGGTCCTTTTTAAAAACCAGTCTTTGTAGCATATTTATTATCATGTCTACAATCATTTCCCAAAGTTTTACATTTTTTAGAATTTATTTGTTATTTTAAACAGGGTTTTAAAATAAGAAAACTGTTTCAAACCTGTCATTTTTCATATATCAGTTTACGATCGACCGCCACGATCGACCGCCCTTGAGTTCAGAGACTCAGATTTGTTTTTGATGGCTCACGGTCGATCATGGCGATCGACCGGATGCAGTCCAGAGAGTTTCGCGGTCGACCACCACGGTCGACCGGCTGATGTCCAGAGCCGTATTTTGTTTCTGTTGTTGCTCGCGGTCGACCGCGAAATTCCCACGATCGACCGCCGATCACCCAACGGTCATTTTTGTACAGAATCTGATTTCAGATTTTGTGGGCTTTTTGGTCTTTTCTGTTGGGTTTTTGGCTGAGGTTTTAGGAGGCTATATATACCCCCTTGCTCTCATCTTTCAGAAGCACCCAAAGAAGTTTTTAAATAAGAGTTTAACAAGGGTTTAAGCTTGTTTTGTGTTCGTTTAAAAGAGTGTTTAAGAAGCTTTTAAGCAATTGAGAGTTTTGGGTTTGTAAAATCAATTTCACAAGAGCTTGAGGAGATTCTATTGGTGCTTGAGCATCCAACCATCCCTCAATTTCTTGATCTATTGAGAAGTTTTCTAAACTCTATTTCTAGCTCTTTTATATACATTTGATTATTATTGTTATTAAGCTAGAATTATATTGAATTTAGTTTTGATTTATTTCTCTTTGCTTTGTTCACACACAACCTATTGAGCTTATTGTATTTACATTCATAGTATAATTGGGTTGTGGGATTGTACACACAACCTATTGAGCTTATTGTATTTACATTCATAGTATAATTGGGTTGTGGGATTGTGTAACAATTAAGAGTGAGCTTACATTCTTATTGTATTTACATTCATAGTATAATTGGGTTGTGGGATTGTGTAACAATTAAGAGTGAGCTTACATTCGTTCTCATCCATTGTAGAGAACAAATACTTTGTATTGTACGTTATTGTGAGATTCACTTTGTATTACATTAGTACATTGAGAGGAGTGTGTGGTGAGAGACGAGGTTGTTTCCAAGAGGAGTGGCGTCGGTTGACGAACCTAGGGAGAGGTTGTATCCGAGCACTTGAGGAAGGACACAGAGTGACCAACACTTAGAGGATGTGGAGTGTAGTTACATTGTGTTATTGTATGGTGTAAACGTTATTCGGATGATCGTAGAAAACCCGGTTGTTATAGTGGATTTCTCCCCGGGAGTGGGGAGCGGAGACGTAGGACGGAAGGTCTGAACTCCATGATCATATCGTTTGTTTGTGATTGCATTGACGCACCTTTCTTATGCTCATATTTTATATTGCATTTGTATACTACTTATTGTTTATATTGCCCACTATCTTGTTTATTTTACCATTGTGTTAGTTTATATATCCTTGCTCATATATTTATAATATCTCATTGCTAGGATATATTTATTTGTTCATATTGCTTATTCTTGCTTATAACATATTGTATATCGATCTATCTTACGAGAATAATTTGATAATAGGTTTTAATTAACATTTAAATTGAATTAGAATAGCATAAGACTCTAATCAACCCCCTTTTGGGTCTAACATCAACATTCGGTGCCCGACAATTTATGAATATGAGGTAGAGCGATAGAAGTGTTGAGGAGTATGCTTTTGAGTTTACCTTGTTGAATTGGTATGCACCTGTCTTAGTGGGTAGGAAAGTGGACAATGCTAGAGCCTTCGTTGATAGACTGAAGGATGAGATTTAACACATCATATCGACAATAGGGATTACCACCTACAATAGTGGCTTGGCCATAGCTTGATGTTTTAAGGATTCTTATAGGATCGGAAATAGAAATGCCAAGGGGCTTTGATATCGACCAATCATCCATGAGTTGTGGGAGGTGGATCAGCTAGCACAGGACCTTTTGTGCCGATAGTTCAACTAAGAACTATGTGTGATATCAGCGGTAGAACTAGACATGTTACCAAGGATTATTATTAGAAGTTGGGGAAGTGCTATGGAGGTGGCAGAGAGGGACTTTGTAGAGACTAGTGCCCCTGGGTGACCGGAGCAGTGACATCATAGAATGGTGCCATGTTACCACCAGTGACATACGCACCCCCACCACCACAGAAGGATGCATTTCAAAGATCTAATTTTGAATAGCAGTATTTAAGGTGTAGATCATAGTGAGGATAAAGGGGGAAGGAGAGCTACTGGAGAGTCCCTTTTGGCTTACTCAGTACATGCACGCATTGTGTTTGATAATAGAGCTTCACATACATTTATATCATCTTAATCGTTCAAGTTCGCTACATTCCATGCATTCTTTTAGACCAAGCTTGGAATGCCATGATTGGTAGTAGTAGAGAGCTTTACATTGACTTGTTAGTGCTAGACTACCCTAGGTATGACATCATCCAAGGAATAGATTAGCTCGGCATGCGATCATTGTTTTCCACTAGCAAGCCGTTAGCTTAGTTTACCTAATCATACACCTTTTGAGTTTGAGGGAGGTAGTTGGCGTTTAGGTCCATCAAAGTACCAAGACATAGCTATTTGAATACTAACTGCAATAGAGGTAGAGAACCTGGAGGAGGAGAGACCTACTCCAGACTATCACGACACTGTATTATAGAGTTTACCATAGATGTATTGTTTTCAGTCAAACAGACTCACATGAGATTGAGACAATGAAATAGTCATCTTGAGACAATGAAATAGTCATCTTGTTTTATTGATCTCTCTTGAGGAAAACAACAAATAAACAATTATACAATGTTTTTTAGTTACACTAGAGATTCTAGAAATATGTGCTGATAGAGACTAGTCATCTGCTCAGTAGACTATACGGGCAAAATAGCACTTTCTTTTGAGTTGGTTTAGGGAGGTCGGACTAGGTTGCTATGATGATTCTCAGAGATGAAGGATGTATTTTTCATTGAGGGTTCGTCCATATGAATATGTTGAAGAGAGCCGGAGATGATTAAGGATTAACCACTAGGTGGCTGGAGGTGAACAAAGCTTACAGAATAGATTTCCACCCAGTGAGATTCGAGCTTTAGGTGGTCGAGGACTGAGGGTTGTAGGCGTCTAAAAATGCCTATGGGTGTCCGCACACAGCTTGAGATAGAGAGAAGACGATGAACGTCGTTATTCGAGTCTAAGAGGATTATTTGTCGTCGACAAGCGTATGAAGCGAAACGACGAACCAAGTGGCACGCGCACATCAATCAGTTCGTGCGAGTCGGTCAACACGCGCACGTCAACCAACACGTACAAGTCAACCAAATACGCGAAACGGGAGAAACTACAAATCTCGAAAGAGTCGGAAAACCAAAAAGGTGTCAGACTTCGGAACCCGCGCCGATGCGGGACGACCGAAACTGACCCGCACCAGCGCGGGTCGGCCGAAACCGACCCGCACCAGCGCGGGTCGGCTTTGGCCGACCCGCGGCCTGGCGGGTCGGCCAAGGCCGACCCGCGGGTCAGCGGGTCGGCCAAGACC